GATAGCCAAGAGCTAAGCAACTATAGAAAGGCCACAAGAGACAAGCAATTCCTACCACAGAATCCAGGTGCTGTGGTTTGAATGCTCACGTCCCGTCTAAAATTCATGTTGTAACTTAATCCTTAGTGCAATATATAAGAGGTGAGACCTGTAGGAGGGTGAATGGGAAGAGGGATCTGCTCTATGAATGCAGTAAGACCCCTTATAAAAGGGCTCAAAGAAAACCGTGTGGTCCTTCTGCCTTCCACTGCATGAGGACAAAGCAACAAGGCACCAACCATGGAGCAAAGGGGAACCCTCACCTGATGCCAACTCTACCACTGCCTTGATCTTGGACTTCCTAGCCTTCAGCATAATGATAAGTAAATTTCTAATACTGATAAATCATCCAGTGCAAGGTATTTTGTGACAGCAGCAAAGACTGAGGAGGAAGAAGCATTGGATACTCATGAATGTGAGGTACAGAGTAGGAAACTGAAGACAGAAAAACAGATTTAAAGTCTCTTAAGGAGCAGTGAAACCTCTGGAGCCCATCCCACTGTGGTTAGGTAACTACCTTTTACCCTCCCTGGCAGAAGATGAAGGGAATTTGGGCATGCCAAATGGCGACACTCTCCTATCTGTGCCAGCAACCGGAAAGCTGGTAAGCCAGTAGGCAGCTGTGAGCTACCCCAATCCCCAAACAAAAACAAAAAAACAAAAAAGGAGTTAGGAAAATTCCAGAGAAACTAACATAAGCTACAAAGATTCCTCGAACAACATGGCTAAGGTCTTACCTGATCATGTTACCATGAAGCCCATCAGGCCTCAATCATTGCCCACATGCACAGAGCTTCTGATTCACTTCTTAGACCTATTGTTAAATGTGAACCAAGAGCCAAAGATCACTAGATCTTGGAGGAGAACCTCTGAAATAAAAGAGAAAAACCAAAACAAATAGAAGGAACCCAGAATAAACAGAGATAGGCAGAGAACAGAAAAGAAGCAATACAGAAAGAATGAAGAAAAATCCCGCATTCATGAAATAAACACTGGCTGTTGTATTTTAAATTTAAAAAAAAAATTCATAGAATAAGCACTTTTTTAGAAATTAAAAATTAGGAGAGCAGAAATTAAGAGTTCAGTACAAAGACTGAAAGATTACAAATTGAGGTAATCTACCAGAAAGTAAAGGAAAAAGGCAAAGAGAAAGTAGGAGTTACAGAAAGAGCGGGGGCAAAAGAAAAAAATTATCAGTGACATAATACAAGAAATTTAAGAAAATGTCTGACAAATCAAAGATACAATTACCTGAATTGAAATGACCTGCCAACTGCCCAGCACAGAGTGGGCAAAAAAAGATAAAACACCAAGGCACACGGTTGTAATATGTCAAAGCAACAGCAATAAAGAGAAAACTGGAAAAGGTTCCAGGAAAAGAAAAAGGAAAAAAAAAGGCACTAGAGGGAGCTGAAATGCAGAATGGAACTAGATCGTTCAACCACAACACTGGAAGCTGGAATGCATCCAACATCAATCACGTCAAGAAACACTTCTGACAAGGCCTGCTCCTCCAGGCAAATTCCAGTCACATGCAAAGTATAATAAAGACACTTGCAGACACACAAGGCATCTGAACGTGTGGCCCTCATATGCCTCTTTTCTAAGGAAGCTCCTGGAAGATGAACTATAGAAGACGATAAGCCAAGAAATCCCCTGAAATGAGGAAGCAACCCAAAAAAAAGGATGGCATGGTATTCAGGAAAAATGGAATCCGACACAGGAGACAAACAGAGGGCTGTCCTCAGCATGAGGCCCAGGAGTTGCAGGTGGAGGCTGTCGAGGAAGCCTGGAGAACAAGCGCTCCAGAAAAGGCAGGAGGAAGAACAGCCTTCCCAGGGAAAAAGGAAGGACAAGGAGGAGCAAGGTAAGGAACACCACTTGAGGCTTGGGAATGTCCTGAGAGAAGATCAGCATTCTGTCAGAGAGTCTGAAAACAAATTCATAACAGGTAAATAAAAAACTCAATAAACAAAAATACATTCATCCCAAGAAAAACAACACATTGTTCAATAAAGGAAGTCGAATGTAGTTTCAGCTGGAAACAATAGTTGGTTGCATAGTTGTAATAATGAAAACATTGAGTATGAATTTAAATAAAAATTCATTTAAGTGGGTTGGGGTATGGGGGATGAGAAATTATTTAATGGATGTACTGTACACTATTCAGGTGATAGCTATATTAAAAGCCTAGACTTCACCACTATGCAATATATGCGGGGGGAGCCAAAAAAATAAAAGCCCGGAATTTATTTATTAAAAGTTGTACATTAATTCTTACATGTTTAAACTTCGGTCACCTTCAAAGTACTCTCCACTTGGTGCAATACACCTTTTAGAGCTTCTGCCGCTTTTTCTTTCACATCGGCAAAACATTTTCCTTTGAGCACTTTTTTCATCCAGGGAAACAAAAGACAAACATCTCTCAGGTGAGATGGGGTGACTAGGGAGGATGGAGCATGCGTGTCACGTGTTTTTGGTCAAAAATTGCTGAACACTTCAGCACGGTGTGGGCAAGTTGTTCGTGTAAATCACCCGTCATGAAATGGGCAAACGCACTGAAAGAATCTCCAAAAATAAATAAATAAATAAAATCACTGAAGCCAAACGCAGCCTCTCACAGCACTGGGCAGGGTATAACCAGAGGCAGGGAGAAACACAGTACTATTCAACTATTTAAATTATGTTTATATTCTATTTTGAGATCGATAAAACTTCATTTAAGTAAATGAATGATGAGGTGTTCAGAGTTTGCAGACTATTCCTTTGAGGAGCTTAAATATACTAGAAAAAAATAATAATAAACCAGTTGAGGCATGGTATCTTTGGTTACCTTTTCTTAAGTCTGCAGAAATATTGAAAGGGGAGAAACAATAAGGAAGAAATTAGGATGGTGACAGAAAATAGGGAATCTGAAGGAAAAGGTCTCCAGGGAGGCAGAGAATAAGAGCTCAGGGTCACGTGTATCCAAATCAGGCTTAGACAGAAATACAGACAGTTCTTCCTCAGTGGTCAGGAAAGAAAGAGAGACCAGGATAAAAGCACAAAAAGCTAGCTGAGGAAGAAACACATCTCATGGCTAGAGGGTCAGATGCTGTCTTTTGGGGTGAGACAGAACATCAACAAAAACTGAATGTTTGAGAAAGTACCAAAGAAAATGGTAAATTCAATTTGATGAAGTAAAGTTTATCTTAGCACAGGACTGAACACACACTATGTTCGTTGAGTATTTGTACTTAGTCACTCCCTAGGCTCCCACAATCCTTTGCATCATATCATATGTACACTAGCACTTTATTTTATTTTATTTTATTTTATTTTCGAGTTGGAGTCTCACTCTGTCACCCAGACTGGAGTGCAGTGGCCGCTCCCGGCCACCACAGCCTCGACCTGCTGGGCTCCGGCGATCCTTCCGCCTCAGCCTTCCAAGTAGCTGGAACTACAGGCGCGCACTACCACACCCGGCTACTTTTTGATTTATTGTAGAGATGAGGTCTCGCCAAGTTGCCCAGGCGGGTCTTGAACCCACTGGCTCAGGCAATCCACTCACCTCGGCCTCCCAAAGCGCTGGGATTACAGGCTGAGCCACCGAGCCCACACACTAGCACTTTAAAAAATTGTATTTTCACTACACTGTGAATCCTCAAGAATCAATTTATACCACCAACACTCACCACGGTGCTTGACATGAAATGCACTTCTGTTGTTTGGATAACAAACATTTATTTCCAGAAGTACAAATGCATGTCCACACATCAACACATACATAACAAACATGTGCTACCTTAAAATGTTTTTTGTTTACTAGAATAATCAGCATTCAATAATTTTCCAATATAATTTTTAAAATAGTAAATAATGCCCCACTATAAACCCATACCCTTCAAAAATTCTGACTTAAGTTGATATTTACATTTGAAACTGTCTCTTTGAGCACATATACAACCTATAATCTCTTGGACAATGTCCATACCTTGATTAAACTCAGAACAGCTAGGAAGACTACATGAATCTATGACTGTCTCATAGATTCTAAATTAAAGCTCAGAAACATTCACAATGAATAAAAAAGTCATAGCTGAAAAATCAATAACTACTTTGTCTAATAATAAACCTAAAGATGTTATGATTTGAAACATCAACTTTTATCACAGGAATTAATTTGAGCATGTTTATCATGCATGTTCTAATATTTCAGCATACTCTAATTTTGCATTCTTTCCAAGAGGGAAACACAGTTATCATTCACTATGAAATGCATGATATTCGTGCTAATTTTTTTTTAAATCTGCTTTCCTCTCCCCTAAAATTAAGCCCAAAACCAATTTCCTTGGTAATTACTCAACCCCTTTTCCACAAAACACTTTAGATTGATCCACCTCAAATAGGCTCAGATAGAAGATGGGAGCGATTAAAAAAATAAATAAAGGCAAAAACTTTGTCACCTAAATCTCTGGTTGAGCTTAGAGAATGTTTCTGATTGCTACTAGTTTAAATTATTCCTGACATATTAATATGGTAGAGAAAATTAACTTGAAAAGTCTATCTTGAAAGCCAGATCACATCAATAAATTGTAATATTTAGTTTCACAAAGTAGTAAAACAGAGAATTATGAACATCTAAGTGATTTAAGCTAGTCAACAACTTAGGAAAAATGCAAATCGGTGCACCCATATACACCTTTCCTCATATTCCACAAAGTATAAGATGACCAAACTCAAGTTGTTCCAGTAACAATACACAAAGCAGAACAACCAACTGGTAACTTCATAATTTCACCCTTGTATCCTTTCAAGAAAATAATTCCCAAAGGATGCATTTTATATATATATATAAAGGTATCCTGAAAACAGAGCCATATTAGTTGTACCTTTAAAATCATACAGGTTAAATCAGAGTTCAATAGCTCCATGCTGACTTCTAGTTTACAAGAGCACACAAATGTTATCTTCTGAAATACCTGATTTTGACTTCAGGATAACCTGAATGGTATGTCCGTCGTTGGTGACTTCACAGTCGCGGCAGACCACATAATTTGGAGAGAGGCGGACATCCAGCAGCGAGGGGTCATATCTCGCTTCTCTTGAATTTAGGTTAATAGGAGACTGGTATTCCCCATTAGCATCAGGAAACACCAAGCCCCACTCAACACCTAAGGAAAGACGAAGCAAATTAAGAGCAGGTTTTTTAAAAAAAGTTACAGTAAGCTTTATCAGGTAAAAACTAGATTTAAATGCCTTTATGAACCTTCACATTATGAAGACAACTATGACAGCCATCACTACACAGCTGATTCCTCTAATTTCATCAAATACCACACACAAAATCTGGACTAACAAAATTCTATTTGCATTTGTCCACCTAGGTGTAATAATTCATGACTCTAGGAAATTTAGACCACCTTAAATGATTAGAAAACTACCACAACAATCTCCTTTGCTCATTAGTTCAATTAGATTTGGTACTTGGGAGATAGCTGTAACTTCCAAGAGGCTATCTGATGCTAGTAAATAAACACCTCATCAAAAATGCAATACATTTCCAAAATACACTCTTTCCAATTTTTTTATAATTACAATTATATATTCTCTATTTGTTTCAATATAGACAGCAAACATCAGCACCAACGAATGGCAAGCTTTAATAGGAGCCCTACGTCTTCAGGGATCAACTTAGGAAACTAAGTTCTTTGCTTGTTTGTTTTAAAGGCAACCCCCCTGGCTGTCTCCAGACTCAGTCTGACTAGGTAGGACAAGTTTTAGGAAGAGCTTGAGCGTTGCTAGTATCCTCCGCAGGAAGACTAGAGGCACAGACACCCTCTCCCCACAGAGTCCTCCAAGCAGCAAGAAATAAAGTTCACTGACGCTGCCTCCTCGAGGTGTGGGTAAGTCGTCCCGCTGCTCTCCTTGGCTACTCCGAAGGAAAGGTCCAGCCTAGGCTTAAGGGTTCACTCGCCCTCCCTCTGGCCCGCAAGTTCGACCGCCAGCGCCGCGGCCGGCTCCCTGGCACGAACGCAGGCGGCGGGAGCACGCAGGCGGCGGGCACACCTCTCTGGAGCGCCTCCCGCCCCGAAAGGGGCCAGGCAAGGGCCCGAGACCCCCGCGGGAACGAGGGCACGTGGGGGTGCTGTGAGCACGCGACAGCAACAGGGCGAGAGCCCCGCGCTCGGCGGGACGCCGACACGCCGTCGCCGGACCCCGGACCCCGCCGCCCCGCAGCCGATTACCTTCCTCGTAGCCCCACTCCACGCCCTCCTCCTCTTCCTCCTCGTCCTCCTCTTTCTCGGGAAAGGCGACGGAATCTTCGATGAAGCTCAGGTCAGCCATGGGAAGGCCGCGGGGCCCCCGGGCGCTG